CTCTCTCTCTCTCTCTCTCTCTCTCTCTCTCTCTCTCTCTCTCTCTCTCTCTCTCTCTCTCTCTCTCTCTCTCTCTCTCTCTCTCTCTCTCTCTCTCTCTCTCTCTCTCTCTCTCTCTCTCACTACACTGCTCTATCTCTCTCTCTCTTTCTCTCTCGACACAAAGCCTTTCACATCAATAGCCGACTTCACGAGAAATGTTCTGTTCCGTCCAGATGTGAAATCAGATACTATTTGCCTGCGGTGCATACGTTCTACACAAACAATCCGACGTTGCATTCCGCAATTTCTCATAATTCTCTGCCGCCGCGACGCGCTCACAATATCAGCGTGCGCGGCACACCACCCCCTCTCCCGATGAAGAAATTGCGGTCATCATTATCGCGTCGATCACGTGTCAGATATTCGAGAAGCGCCATTTATTTTCCGTCTGAATAAGGCATTTGCTTGTTTTCGAATGGCTGGCCCGAGATTGATGCATGTTGTTATTAGCAACTCGTTTTTCCCCGGCCACGCTTTTTACGCGAAGCAGCGTGCGTGATATAGCTGCGGAGACGTTACACGCTACACGCCGTATACCCACCATCCACCTCCTATATACGGTCAAACCTGCATACAAGGGACACTCAGAGATAAACCCTCCCAAATGCGTCCTTTATGGACACATTTCTGCTCTAGAGAGGTGAGTTCACTGCATAGCAGTAACGCCAGAAGTCCTTTACAGACAGGTGTCCGTTCTATAGAGGTGGCTGCACTGTATAGCTGCCACATAAGCAAAACACAAACGTCCGTTATAGAGAGGTGTCCGTTCTATGGCGGTGCCCACTAACATAGGTTTGGCCGCACACGCGTACACGCGACTACCGCGCTACGTGGACACGTGCGTGCGCACACGCTTCTTGCTGCAATCATAGCCCGCCGTCGTTAGCAAGCAACCACCACCCCCCCCCCACCCCCCCCCCCCCCGATGGCAATCAGTGATGAATCGAGCAGCAATTATAAAGACATTCATTTAGATATTTTATACCTTTGTTGAACTCGCTCGCTCGCTCGCAAGCGCGCATGCATGATTTATTCACGAACACGGATCCCTGCCGCCCACGCGCGCGCGCGCACCCACCACCGAACAACAATTAAGCGACTGAAACAAATCATGATGGATCGGTTTGCGGGTAGCGCGCTCGCTCGGTGTGCGTGTGCCTGTGTCTGTGCCGGAAAACATGAAGATGGAGTGAAAGTCAATGCCATCATTACCTCTTACTACATAACACGTACAATCGATAAGTACGTAGCGTAGCTGTAACATACTAATATATGCCCCCTCCAAAGAAAATCCACGACATGGGGTGTCTGTAACCTTCGAAGCTACATGATTCAAGAAACCAGCGACAGGTGTAGCTGTAGCCTTCTGAGCTATGCTTCAAGAAACCAACCGACAGGCGTAGCTGTACCCTTCGAAGATATGTATCACGAAAACCCAGACATACTGATAAACACGTCTACTGTAATTCATGTACATCTACGAGCTAGAAAGTTCAGAACAACTGAATATTATTAGGTTATTAGGTTACCTCCCTACTAAACACTTGCATTAAGCAAAATATTGCCAGGGGGGGGGGTGATATGCGCCGATATAATATCATTTACATCTAATTACCAATTTAATGAAATGTTTTAAAATTGATTTACAACGTAGATTGTTAGCACGATATAATTTTGATGCGCGGCTGAAGGATCACCCGCACTACTAATATATACTTAAATAAATCGCGTATCCTACAGCACGAAGGCACTTGAATGGAACACGCACATTTGCTACTGACACTGTACAAAATTACGCGCGAATTGTTTTACTGAATGCGGCGCACGCCGTAGTACAGAACTGTGTCACAACACAAGATATACACACTGAAATACCTCCCACGTGAATGAATAGCGTTTGATATCAGTTGGAATTAGGTACTTGGTAGTGTTAAATAAACGACATGACCAGATTCCTTTACAGTTTGAACTATTACAGTACGTATTTGGCAGTGTGACGCGATAAGATAATGTACCTTTATAGTTTTAACTATATATGATAACAGGCTAACTCGGAAGTGTTATATGATAAGATAATGTACTTCACAGATTCGACTACATGATTAAAGTTCCGACGATAACCGATTTACCTGCTACACATTTATAGTATTAACTACACTCTATAACCGGTTTAATCGGTAGTTTCGCACGATAATTTGACGTACCTTTATAGTTTTATTTTGCAGTCTGAGCCCATTCAGGGTAGAAATCGCCTTCGCAGCATCTTCGACACGGCAGTAGTTCACGAACCCATAACCCAAACTCTGACCTGCAAACGCAACAACAGAACGAACCGGTGATATGTCTACTCGTCGAATGTACGTAAGAGAAACCCCACGAATCATAACAACGAGCGTCAAACCGCTTCAGACAGTAATCACCACTGTAATGTGGGGGGGGGGAAGGAGTGAAGGTGGGGGGTGTAAAGGATGTTGTCGACACTGGTAGTGATAAACGAAGGCGTCGTTTATAATATCAAGAGTCCATAGTAGAACGTTTTCTATTATGGACTCTTGATAATATATGCAGGTCATAATATAGATATGTTGTATTATGGAACTGTGGTTTCGCAGCACTTCAGTAAGTACTGTAGTCGGTATAGGGCAATGAGACGCCAACGTCACGAGGTCAGTACTGTGGCATGTATTAGCACTATAGGGTGCACACTGGGTTGCAGAATTCGGCTTCAACCGTAAGTGACGTTATCACGGCCACGGCGTTATAACTGCCTGGGTTTTAAGGTCACCGTTCAAGGCAAAGCTAGGTCGATGGCATTACAATTTAGGTCAAGGCCATTCCCTTGACACCAACCTTTGGCTCACGATGTCAGGCTCCAAGAATTATTTCACATATAATATATAACTTTCCAAAAAGCATTGCGTGGATTTTTAATAGGTCAAGGCCATTACAGACCTTAAAATATGCAATTTCAGTGCATAATTTTATAGATTTCAAGCGCTGTAGAATTTCTGTGTCAAGGTCATCATAACTATACGATTTTAATCACACATACGCATAAGGTTTTCTATAAAGACAATCCAGTGAGGTTCAGAGAATTATACTTTTCACCCAAATCATGCGATAATAATTATAATGCATAAAATACTGCCGTATTTACTCGTGTAAGCGTGCGTCACGCGTACGGCTGTATCTCTACGCATGAACGCCTGAAATGGAAAGGCAAGTGCGTCTGTAGAGATTGCAGTCTGGTACAGCCAATCTCAAGACTACTCGACAAAGAGGCAAGTTTGTGCGAAACTCATCATATTCGGATCTTTTCACGACGACTCAATGGCATCAATAACGCTACAGTCCATCTAGATTCTAGATTCTAGACTCTAGAGAGTCACCATTCCGCCAATATTTCAGCTAAACATGAAACACAATGCCTTATCAGCCGAGTCCGGCCTATTGATTCGTTGCTAGCACGGAATTTCACTCCCGACGATGCTGGAAAAAGCTGCGATCCTAGAACTAGGCAACAAATCACGGGCGACCAGCGAATTACAAGCAAACGTCAAATAACTGGCAACGGCGAATTTCTCACGTGCGATCGAGTGCAACTGCAATTACGCAACGCTTAACATTAACTTCATATTTCAGGTAGCACGGTTCGTGCGCGCTAATGCTTGTAATTAGTGCATAATGCATATCGCTAGCGAATTCCACTCGATTCCCAAGATTTCATACGTAAAATGTGGGCTAGTTTAGAAGAAAGGTTTTGTTAACACATTTCTCAAGTTGAATATATAACAAATTCCCAAGCCAACATTTTTCGATACAGGCACGATGATACATAAGCATATATGCTCCATTTTCTGCGTTTAGAAATCACGTAAAAAGGTTGTTAAGAATGAAAAACGACAACAAAAACAATAAAGCGGTGTAGTTAGTATAAACGAAAATGTAATGTTTGTAACGATTTGTGCACAATTAAATGTACACTACCATCCATGCACAGGAAAGCACAATGCGCACATGCTGATTGCTGTCCACATACGAAACCCACCTTTGTAGGCGAGATAATAACGGTGCGACGGGATGACAAAACCCCCTATTCAGTGACAGAAACTCACTTCGGGCCGAGTAACTGCATCTTAGTTTTCAGTCCCGTACGTTACAACGATCTGGAGGTAGCACTAGCAATAATCTAAACAAAGATTCGGAGATAGAATTACAACGTTTAAATTGCTATAAATGACATGAATTTAACGACTCTCTCTCTCTCTCTCGTTCTCTTTGTGTGTGTGTGTGCCACTCTCTCTCTCTCTCTCTCTCTCTCTCGCTCTTGGCCGCTTTCCTTCCCCTGTCTCACTCCGCCTGTCTCCCCTCCCTATTCCCCAGCACATCTTGCTCCTTTCCCTCTATCCCTATCCTCCCACCTGCCTTCTCTTTTCCCTCCCCCTCTCTCTCTCTGTGTGTAATTTTCACCTTCATTTTTATGTGGAAGAGTTACGAGTACAGCCAGACCTCATTCAATTGCCTGTTTTTCATGCTGCGTATCGAACACACGTACCAGTCAGATGTTTCACAATAAAGTCGGCCCAATCGATCAGAAATGCACTGTGCCACGCAGCGAGACAGAGAGATGAAGCTGACAGTCATTTATTCTATTCACTGTCGTCTGCGCAGGGAAAGAGAGAGAATGAGGCTAGAGTCAGAGAAAGAGAGACAGAGAGAGAAAGAGATAGAGAAAGAGAAAGAGAAAGAGAAAAAGACACACCCACACACCCACGCGCGCGCGCGCGCGCACACACACACACACGCACACACGCGCACACACGCGCACACACGCGCACACACACGCACGCGCACACGCACGCACGCACGCACGCAGTAAGAGAAGGAGGAGGGAGTCAAAGCCCCTATCTTGTTGCTGCACACTCGCACACATTCAGTGAAAGTTTACTTTCCTGGTGTCTCATGCAACCACCGATAACTTTCTTGGATCACATCGCGATTAAGCACAAGAATGGAAACGCCCATTATCATAATCACATGCCGATCTCAACGGAGGCGCCGCGTGTACACACCCAACTGCCTATTCAAAAATGGCAATTTCTTTTAATTACTGCTCAGACGCACTAGCGTAGATAAACACGATAATTAGACCGTACACAAGTTTCACGCAGGCAATTAAATAGTTGTAATTATTATATTAACATTTTCCAGTTAACGTATTGTGCAGAAGAATGTGTTGCCACTGACGGCTCAATTAAACTACCCTCTGCATGTCAAGATTGACTACATTGCAAACTTTACAAAAAACGACGGTAGCTCTACACAAGCTATCGAAGTATTATTCAGCGAATTTCATACATCCACTAATGAGTTAATTGCGCCATACGTATTTATATGCGCGCGTGGAATGCAGTTGACGGTTCCACGTGACAGCGCAGCGAGGCAGAGCATCACTTCAAATGACACAATGAAATCCCTGAAGCACTTTTACCTGGCACAGCAATAACACATGCAGCATCTAGGCATAGCAACACACAGACAGGGAGAGAGAGAGAGAGAGAGAGAGAGAGAGAGAGAGAGAGAGAGAGAGAGAGAGAGATTGCTGATAAACCATTTCTCTTCTAGCACAACATCATCAACAACGTCTTATACGGCCGAGAGCGAGTTACTCATTGATTTGCTCCTCCGTTATAGCATAACGCACTATTTAACGACCCATACATCTGAGATAACTCTTCTAATACGGTCATTCCACCGCATAGCACATTAGGCTAGAACGACTTACAGATGTAGAAAATCCATGCTCGGTTATGGAAATGCGTTTGGGCAGTGGTAGATGATCTTTACGAGAGCACTTCTAATATGCAAAAAATACAGAAACATAGCAGCAGAGCACAGCAGCAGAAGCACCAACGAAAATGAGTATCTGTACGCGCGTTAAACCATTATTGTGAACATTATAATTCAAGCAATAGCTTTACAGACAAGACCAAATTTATGCGTTTGAAATAGCTTATTGCATTTTACTCGGCGTAAATGCTGAAGTGAACATAACTGCTCTCACTTCAATCATAAGTCTAACTTATCATATGAATATACATATTTTTACGCTGGACAAGTGAATAGCAATTGAATCAATAGTAGGAATGATTCACTGTAGCATAGAGCACATGGTCCCTAACTAATTTGCATACTATGTCGCACAAACAGAACCATGCGACCAGCAAAACCGGCAGCAGTAGGTGCACGACGTATACCCACGACTGCCGTGGCATTAACTTTCGGGCACGGCACACACAAGGACTATTCAGAATTAGAAAAGCTCTCCCCAATCACCCAGTTTCATAATCCTTTGGGCTGTCGCATATAATGACGATAGCTAGGGCCCTTTTCTAATGTATGTCCCTCCTCAACTCGATGTGAACGGCTATTTAACATTAGTACGGCCTCATGCAGTTTGTTTCTCCGAAATCGCCAATGCAGGCTGTTCCATAAAGTATATCTGCCCAGCAGATACCCGCGGTAAAAGGATCCTTATAAAATCTTGAAAGCTAAAAGCGCACTAGCTATAAATCTCAGCAAAGCGAACCATCTAAGAACCACAACTTAAATACAAGGCCGCTTACATACAGCTCGTCCGCCGGCTTGCCCGAAATGAATTTCTGCAGCGGTCTATGCGTCGTAACCAATTTTGATCGGCGCCGCCCTTACAGAGACACGAGCGCCGCTTCTTACAGAAGAAGCGAGCGTTCAAGATCGACTACACCCCGAATGCAGCGGCAAAACGTGGACAAATTACAGATGTTAAATGGCCCGCTTCTCTATATCAGATCAGCGCGCTGCTGCTAACTGTTGTCTGATGCTGCGCTGCCTGACGTACACTAGCTACTACAGTACAAAACGACCCAGCGTGATCACAGCAACATAGATTTTTATAAGAATCATGTTAGGCTACCACAATTCCCCATTTGAGACCCCTTTAACATAAAACCCTGTTTTAGGTCTAACGATTTTTAAAGTAAGCGTTCTAATTTTCCCGCAAGTGGCAGAATGAGACCTTTAAAAAAAGAAACCACACGTAATAATAAAAAAGACAGAGCTCCAGCAATAATCGATGCAATAACCAAGTGCCCAATGGGCCAATTGCCAGCCAATAAAACACTTGGCCAGCAGCCACTGCATTGTTATGAGACACCAGAACTGCATTATTTACATCATATCAGTTAAAAAACCCCGCATAAAAGAAACAACCGTACGATTAAGAACACTCAAGGCCCTGAAATGTCAGCTCATAAAAATTGCATTATT